AGAGTCTACCATTTGTCGCATTACTACTCTTGTCGTCCATCTGATGGCATAGAAGGCTAATGTCGGGCGCTTTGAACGGATCAAACGTATCGATGTCTTTGAAGTCAATGGGAACACAGATTCGGCCGGTCTTCGGGTGCACTGAGAACGGGGTCTTCAATAAATGGTTCACACCTTTGGTCACATTGGCGTCGAGTCTCGGGTAACAGAATTGCAGTTTCAGTTCAGTCACAAAGTGTTTAGTTCTGAGTTTATTGTAATTCTTGGGCGTAATCCGATCTATTCGGTCGTAAAACTCTTGACACGTCTTTTCCAACTGTTCCCATCGTGTGGTCGAATCCTTTAGCTTCGGATTCAGCAATACTGTCCTCAACTGTTGTTTGAGTTCAGTGTCCGGACAGATATCGATCACAGCATTGATCTGTTGAGTGGTTTCCAGAAGGTTTTGTTTCTCAAGTATTAACGACTTAAAGTGTTTGTCAACTGTGAGGACAGCGGAGGCGATACACGGGTGGAGATTATGGGTGCCATCGAAGGACACCTTTTTGGCCTTAAACTCTCCGCCCTCGACAACACTCAAGTAGTCGACAATAGCATTGCGCGCATCGCCGGCCAGTTTGCGGGCCCTCTGGTCGGCGACCCAACAATGGATACCACGTCTACCCGAATACACCCACAGGAGGTGTTTGAAGCCGAAGTCTTCGCGCAGCGCGCGGTTCAGTATTTTGGCGGCGATTATCATAAAAGGCCAGCACTTGTCGCAAATGTCGGCGCCTTTACAACAGGTGCGGACGTCATCGTAATCAGTCATATCGATATCAAAGACCAGTTCCCTGTGTTCGGCCTTAAAGGCCACCAAACCGATAGACTTGGAGTCCTTCGGCTTAATGTTATAGACGGCTCCGATGTCTATCTTCTCCGGACAACGCGAGACAATCGCTTTCTCCAACTCCTGGCAGTCGGCGAACGACTGATACCTGACGTACACATCGCCCGACAAAGTGAACGAAAACTCGCGTCTCTCGAAATACCCGGCATCTGATCCACGGATCAAAACAAAACAAAGTGTTAGACAATGTCTTCGACAATGGCTTTTGTGGACATTAATTCACAGACCGTTTCCGTAGGAAAGCCATCGATGAAAGAGTTTGTGCGGAAAGAGGAGCCGATAGTATGCCTGAAGCAGTTCCGGCAGATTCTGGCGCTCGTATGCGGTGGACATCGTTGTGGTGTTTGGTCACCGCTTTTGGCCGACAGTTATTACCGACTCTTTTGTGCGAATAATTTGTTGTCAAATGAAATACAAAAACAATTATTATTTTTCAGCGCCAAAAGTTTGCCAAACTATTAGAGGTGTGAACGGGTTGTCTATATTATACTCACGCATAAAACGTTACGATTATGCGTGGGTTAAGTGTGGGGTCTATAGAGAGGGTTTATACTGTAATTATGTTTAGGGGTTCTAAGATTTATTGAAAAAACGTAACGTCAGTTTTGTATGGCCCTTCTCTGGTTATGTAATTTTAGTTTACTTGTAATCATTAAATTAGCGAATATTTTAATAAATAATTAATTAATTAAATCAAAAAATGTGTAATAATATGACCACAAAATCCACGCCTAAAATAAAATCAATAAAATTTTAATAAATTTAATTAAAACTCATGTATTGTTTACAAGACATGGTCTGCACTACAGTTCACGCCATAAATAGCACAGAATTAGCATTAAATAAATGGTATTTAAAAGCACGTGGTGTTCAGCCGCGACACACACGTGGGCTAATCGGTTGATCAACACGTGGTCTGAGCCGATGGATCACCCAATGGATCAGTTTATGCACAGAAGAAGTGTTATATAAACATAACTTATCCAATAAAGTGGTGATAATAAGAGCCGTAATTGATATGAGAAATGAAGAGATAATGAGAAAAAAGCGAAAGAGATTTTCAGCCATAAATTGATTGCATTTTTTGAAGAGTTTTTGTGTTATTTTTTTGATAACAAAAACAATACAATCAATAAATTGTTGACAAAATTAAAATTAATCGTTGAGTGAATCGACGTTTGAGTTGCCATTTAGTAAAGTGTAACTGAAAGTGGTATCAGTTGTGGTGACAATTGGTGTGCAATTTGTTTGGTTTTGTGACAAAAATCCAATGTTTATAATAAAAACGATCGACTGATAAGTGTTTTGTGGTATTTCTCAAGTGATTGTGACCT